CTCATTCTCTCTCTCAAATAAATAAATAAAATCTTAGGAAAAAAAAAAAAAAAAGACCTAACCAGCCCAGGACATGAGGTGTAGGTCCAGGAGGGAAGGGTGATGGGGTGTCAGTGCTGTTGGGTTAGAGAGGGGAGGGGGGTACACCAAACGGGAAGTAGGCAAGACCAGCCTTGAAGTTCCCTAGGGAAGAGGCATTTTCTACAGAGGGCAGAAGCGACGAGAATCAGAGAAGAGGAAGGAGGAGAAGGGGATAAGGGGGGAGGGTTTGGGGGGAGTGCAGAAGTATAGGGAAGCCATTACTCATAAATGTCACCAGAATTTACTGAGCACCTACTCAGTGCCTGGCCACAGAGAGGCAGAGGATGCAGAGGGATGGACAGACTCCAGGAAGAGGAAGGTGCGGAGAGGTGGGGAGTTCTCCGGGAAGGTGCCAGAGAGGAATAGGCAGAAACGGAGGTGAAGAGGAGGGTATGTGTGTGCGGGGTGCAGAGTATGTCCGTGAGACTTTGGAATCAGAGACTTCACCAAAAAGAGTCCATCGAGGCGGAACTGATGCAGGGGCTAAAGTCGGGACTTGGTGTGGATTCCTTGGAATCCAGAAGGCTGACCTTTTCTGGTTCTCGGTTTCCTCGTTTGGAAAGTGGGGAGAATAATAGCTTCCTCACAGCTTGCTGAGAGAGTACAGTGGGGTAGAGTGTTTTTAGGGCCTGGCTGGGGATAGGTGCTCCTTCTGGAGTTCTGTCTCACTGCAGCTGTGAGAGCTAGTTGCTCCCTCAAGGTCAGCCAGCATTAGCCATGGAGCAGGGACGGTCCTCCTCATGTCATAGCTGAGGGACGCCCCCCTGGCCTGGAGGCCAGAGAACAGCGGGCTGTTTCCTCTGCGGCAGCCCAGGGGAGGACCGCCAGCAGGTGTGCTGTTTATCCCAGCCTGGGGCTGGCCTTTGGCAAAGAGTCAGCTGCCCGTTGGGGTTTGGAAAGACAGCTTTTAGAGGCGCGGTGGGCACGGGGTACGTGGTCCTCCCTGAGAGATGGTGTGTGTGTATGTGTGTGTGCATCCGTGCATGTGTGTATCAGTGTGTAGGTGTGTCCGTGCAAGTAAGAGAGAGAAAGAGGATCAAGCAAGGAGCGCTGGCACGGATGAGCCGTCCCGGTCTCTCCTTAGCCGTGAAGCAAGCTAAGGTCCAAGGGGAGGCCTCAGCCCCTCCTCCCCTCTTCTCCCCTACCCTAGTCTCCCCTTTCTGAGGTCTGATGCTAGGGGTTATCGAAGAAGGTGAACAGATATCCCCAGCCTGGGAGTTCCTTCGGTGCACAGAGACTGGTGACTGCCAGGACCCCAGCTCTGTGCCTCAGTGTTGGGGACAGAAGCGACCACCTCAGCCCAGGTGCTCAGGAGCACTAGCAGGGCCCTCTTCTGTTTTCTCTGGCTTTGGGAATCCCAGGTCAGGCTGGGACATTTAGTGTGGTGCTTTGAATGCCATAGGTGCTCAATACGTGCCCACTGATGTCTGCCACTGCTCCACGAGTCTTAGTACATGAATATAGTCTGAATATCGGTCTCGTCTGTAATCAGTAGACATGGGGAGACTGAGGCAGCCCTCCGACACCTGCTTAGAGCTGCAGGCCATGCATGGCCCATCTCCCCACTTCTCTTCTGGGGGAGGGAGCCCACAGGGTAGGTCCTTTCCCCTCCATTCCCCCCACCTGCCAGCATGGTCAGCCTATTCTGTGTTTTCTGTCACCCTTAGAATAAGGTCCCCACACTGCCTGCGGAGACCTATGGGGTCTGGAGCCAGCCTACCCTGATCACACCCATACTAATTAGCCAGGTTGGCTTCGGCCATTTCCTAGCTCAGGGCCTTTGCACGTAGTGTTCTATCTTCCCTTCCTGGGCCTGGCTGGCTCTTATTCAGCCTTAAGCTCTTACCTTATAGATGTCACCTTCTCTAGTGTGCCATCCCCAACCACCTCAGCTAAACGTAGCAGCTCCTTTCCATCTGTTATTACAGATGTTCGTTTATTTGTTTGCTACTTGTTCATCATCTGTCATCGCCATTAAAGTGTACATTCCATGAGGGCAGGGACCCCGTCTGTTTCCCTTAGTGCCTGGCACGGTGCCTGCTTCTTAGTACATAACCGATGGGTGGGTGGTAATAGCTGACATTTATTGAATGCTTAATCTGAGGCAGGTATTGTCTTAAGGACCTTACCTGCATTAGTTGTTCGATCCATGTGACAATCTTTGATTTCAGTTACTAGTATTATCTCCATTTTACGGATGAGGAAGCTGAAGCACAGAGAGTTTAAGTAACCTGCCCCGAGTCACTATCTAGTGAGTACTAGTCAGGAATTCAATTCTCCAGAGTTTGTCTTTCTCACTAGTGCCGTATGGCCTCTTGGCACATGAATGAATGACCTCTGGTCCCTGTCCCCAAATGTCTCACAGCCCCAGGGGGGACACAAGCATAGACACATCCAGTAACGATCAAAAGTGATGGAGGCGCGCCTGGGTGGCCCCGTCGGTTAAGCCTCCGACTCTTGGTTTCAGCTCAGGCTGTGATCTCAGGGTCATGGGATTGAGCCCTGCACCAGACTCCATGCTCAGCGCAGAGTCTGCTTAAAACTCCCTCCTTCTCCCTCTGCCTCCCACCCCCGGCCTGGTTGGATGCTCTGTGTCTCTTTCTTAAATCAATCAATCAATCTTAAAAGAAAGGGAGGGGTGGAGATGGGTTTGGAGGGCCATGGTGGTTGGTAAGGGCTGTGCGGATGGGTTGAGGGAAATCCCCCGAGTGGAGGCAACAGATGAATGGGGGTTTGAAGGCTGAGCAGGCGTTTTCTAAGTAAGAGGCAAGAAGGTGTTCTAGGTTTCCCAAGTTTTCCAGTGGACGGTTTCTCTTCTTCCCCACGGGAGACGACGCCTTGGGGGACCTCCATCTCATTTTTTTTTAACTCTCGTCCTCCTACCTCCAGGTCCCCACACCAAAGTAGTGCGCCGCATCTTCACCAACAGCCGAGAACGATGGCGGCAGCAGAATGTGAATGGGGCCTTCGCTGAGCTCCGCAAGCTGATCCCCACGCATCCCCCGGACAAGAAGCTCAGCAAGAACGAGATCCTCCGCTTGGCCATGAAGTACATCAACTTCCTGGCCAAGCTGCTCAATGACCAGGAGGAGGAGGGTACCCAGCGGGCCAAGCCTGGCAAGGACCCTGTGGTGGGGGCTGGTGGAGGAGGCGGTGGGGGAGGGGGAAGTGCGCCTCCCGACGACCTCCTGCAGGACGTGCTGTCCCCCAACTCCAGCTGTGGCAGCTCGCTGGATGGGGCCGCCAGCCCGGACAGCTACACAGAAGAGCCGGCCCCCAAGCACACGGCCCGCAGCCTCCATCCCGCCATGCTGCCAGCCGCTGATGGAGCGGGTCCTCGGTGATGGGGCTGGGGCCGCTCAGGACCAGCCAGGAGGGCATCCTCAGGCCGCCGGGACTGTGGGCTTCAGGGCAGGTGGGGTGAGGATCGGGCAGCTCTGAAGCAGGGCGATGGACTTGATGAGATTTCCTTGATGTCTGAACTTTGCGGAGCCCTAACTGCCCCCGGGGGCGGCTTTCCTGTTTCCTGCCTCAGTGGGAGAACAGAAAAATGGAGCAAAGTGGTAGGTACTTTTTATGAAGACGGCACGGTCTTCCCCCCCCCCCCAATCCCTAAGACTTCTCCAGTAAGAAGCTCTACTGGCACTGCTTTTGGCCTGGAGCTTGGGGGCCCCGTCTTTGCTGAGACCTGGGGTTGTCAGCTCTCCCCGTGGGCATCCAGCAGCCTCTGCCTTGCCTTTAGCCCCTCCCAAGCTGGCTGGTGTGGCTTGTGTGGCCACTCTGTCCAAATACGTAGGTAGCCAGTAGCCGCCCATTTCCGGGTGAGCCCCATCTTCACCCTGGCCCATGTCGGTCCGCCCAGCTTGCTAGCTGCTGCAGAGAGTCCCAGGCCTCAAGGTGCCTTCTACAGGGCCTGGTTGAAGAAGATGGCCAGTGGGCAACCTGCTCTCGACTAGCTGGGCCAGAGGGTCAGAAAACCCAGTAGCCCTTACTGCTTGCCGCGGGGAGCAAAGGTCTGCTTTCTCCCCACTGAGACTTGCCTTCCTAATCCTTGTGGGGACTGAGTCTGTGGCTGGGAGCCTGCCCGGTCAGGCCTCATGTGGAGGCAGAGAGAAGGAAAATGATGAGAGTGAAATTGAGCCAGCGCTCTTTGGGGCTGTGGGTTCAAATCCTGACGGTGTCCAGAGCCACCTGCCTGTATTCTCCGCTCCCCGTCACTGTTCACGAGGTGAGCCGATGGCCGTGCGCCTCTGCTGAGCGTGGATGTGCAGTCCCATCTGTGTGTCCTCCCCGATGCTCAGAGGGACCTTCCTTCTCCAAGGTGTCTGTTTGCTGACGGTCTGGTCGGAACCCAGCTGACCACAAACCCTGTCCTATGAATTTCTGGCCTTTGGGATTTTTGCTTGACTTCAGTTATTGGTGGGATCTTTAGGTCTTGGTATGACCCAGGCTCCAGCCGCACTTCGAGGGCAGGGGAAAACCAATCAGAGACCAGGCACTGGCTGAGACCCGGACAAATGCACATTCACTTAGCAGAATCTTCAACACCCCTCGACTACACAGCCTTCAGTCACCTAGGGTGTGTATGGAAGGCTGGCTTACTGCAACAAGAGCGCTCCCCTCCAATCGTTGTACATGAAATTTTTGTAAATCAAACCCTTGTCCTTCATCTTTTAAAGAAATACTACCGCAAGTCCTTTTGTAAAGTGAAGAATTTTTTTGTAGAGTGGACCACTGCCCCTTGTTGATCTCTTGTGTCAGTCCACATGGTGGGACATGGTTTTCTTCAGGCCAGGCCTGCCTGTGACATGCGTTCCAAGCCCCTGGAACAAACTCCACATGAGCCCTATATACATGTCATTGTACCCTCAAGTCACCGCAGCCTCCTCCCACCAGGCTCTGCCTTTGAGGTTAGAGGGAAAAGAGTCCTGCCCAGTGAAGGGCCTTGAGCACGGCCCTGTGCACACAGGGCATGAACCTGGCTCCCTCCCCTCCTTCCCAAGTTGTGGGTTCCAGTTTGTGAGTAGGGGAGCAACATGGTAATCCTTTAGCCCTCAGACTTGTAGCATGATGGGGATAAGTTACCTCTCTCAACGTCAGTTTCTCATAAATACCCTGGCTTGGCCTGTCTGCTAGGGCTGTGGCGTAGCCGAAGTGGAATCATGAAAGTAGATGCATTTTGAGACCAGAAAGAACACTTTTGCCCTCAGTATCATTCCTGCAGTGGGGTTTCCCATCCTGAGTCCAGGGCCTCCGCAGTGGGCCAGTCTGCCTGACTGCACAGCATTTGGGTAATTTAGGTTCCAAACCACTTTTGCCGGAGTTATCCTGATTGTCCTCATTTCTCCAGATTGACTTCATTTGTGTCTCCTTCCAAGGGGAGGCACAGGAGTGAGAATGGAAGAAGATATGGGCAGAATATGTAAGACGTAATACAGCTTCCCTCAGCGGGCCTGGGTAGGGATGGGCAAAGCTTCATGTCTTTGTAAGGCCGACAGAAGATCCAAAATTTTAATTTTCATTTGCACCCCCCCTCACCCCGCCCACCGTACCCTCTTCCTTCCTCTGCCTCATCACCTATGAAGAAATGGCAGCGTTCCAAGAATAATACCTGTGCAAAGGGAAAAGATGTAAAGGGGAAAAAAAGCAAGGAGAACAGAGATGGTTGTAAGGACTGGAGGGATTCGCATCTTTTTGGGAAAATTCATATGCTTTTATTGGTGGTGGCAAACGACAAGATGGTACAATCTTTCTCCTTTTCCGAAAACAGAACAAAGGGCACAGCATCTGTAGTCAGCCGGCAACTATCTTGGCCTTTGGGGGTGGTCTGGTCGTACTTGGGATTTCGATGGTACGTGGCCCCCCACCGAAGGCTCGCCCCTGCCCGTGTACATAGCGCATTGTTCCTGTGGGCGGGCCCAGCACTTTCCGTCAATGTTGTACTGTACGTGGTGAGTTGCGTTGGTCTCTGCATTTTTCTGCAGAAGAGGAGTAACCGTTCCAGGTACCTTGACCTTTGTACAGCCCGGAGGCCAACACTGTGGGCGTGACTCTTTAGCGACACAACCCTTGTGGTGATGATGTGTGTATATATATAAGGATATATTGGGAAAATTTCTAAATAAAAGTTTTACAGAGGGGCCTGGACTCTGTCCTTGCAGCTTGCACCCCCACGCCTGGGAGTTGGGACATTAAAAGGAAGGGCCTGGCAAAGAGTCTGTCTCTCCCTAAATGGAGGGAACTCCAGGACTCAGCTGTCCTCTTGGGTGGGATCCTGCCCCCTACCCTGAGGCTCCCCCACTTAGGGTTCTATTCTTTTCCCTCTGCCAGGCCTCACAGTGGGGGATTCTTCTTAGCTTTGTGCACCCACACTTTTGGCTCAGGGCCACCCCACAGATGGTCCCCTGTGTGTGCCGGGCTCAGCTCCCACGGCTAGGGCAGTTGCTTTTATCATTGGTTCAGGAGAGATTAAGTTCTCAGCAGAGCAGGATCCCAGGGGCCCTGATGACTTAAAGGGAGGCTGCCGCTCTTACACCTGGCTCTTCAGAGTTGGGGGTGGTGGGTGCAGGGTTCACGTGGGGCTCGGGGACAGGCTGAAGCTTTGGGGGTCACTATCAGTGAATGGAGGCTTAGGAATGGGAAGGCCGGTACAGGCAGGAACTCTGGGTTCGGGGAGGGGGCTGCTCTGCATATGGACTGCCGGAACTTCAGGGAGCATGGTAGGTCAGCATTTCCAATGGAGCGCCAGTCCTTTCATTCATTTAGCAATATTTTTTGAGCCCCTCCAATGGGCCAGGTGTTATTCTAGGTACTGGAGATCCAGCAGTGAAGAAAACCAACATCCCTGTTCTTGTGTTGCTTGAATTCTAGCAGGGAGACCGTAAACACACAGACACACATGAACAATGAAATATGTTGATTTGGGGGTTGATATAGTAAAGATCTAGCACATTGGAAGGTGATTAGTATTAGGGAAAAAAGATGTACCCAGAAGGGAACTCAAGGGGCCCATGGACAATCCTGGCTCCCTTGGGGTCAGCCTTGCTCATCTTGCACCAGGCTTGGATCTTGGCTGCCCCTGTCCTGGGAAGCTTCCAACCATAGCTAGGAGGGCCAGGGCTTGGCAGAGCTTGGGGAATCATGTTCTGGCCTGTAGGGAAGCTCCTGGGCTCTTGGAAGACTCCCAAGTGTGCTTTTCCCTGGCCCAGGGCAAGGAGGCCCTTGGGCGGACAGGATGATGAGGCTTAGTCATGGGGGGAGGCTGAGAGGGTGGGGAAGAGAGAGAATGTGCACAGGAGAGTAACATTTCAGAGGTTACGGTAAAAGGGGGCCTGGGGTTGAGGAAGTGGTTAGCCAAGCCCGACGCAGTGGTCACTGATGCTCTGGCCCGAATGGTCAGGGGAGAAGAATGAGAAGGGAGGAGCACCCATTTCCAGAAGGACCTTTCCCATGGGGTGGGGGGCAAGGCAGCCCACCTCCAGAGAGGTCAGGACGACCTGACTCTGTGACCACCAGGCGGAGGCTGCAAGGCTATTGCCTGCCCAGGTGGGCCAGGCCCTTGGGGATCGTTTGGGCTATTGTCCCCATCTCCAGGGGGCAAGACTGAGGCCCGAAGAGGAAAGCAGTCTCCCCAGGGCCGCCCATCCCAGGAATGGTGGTGACAGCGGCAGGCGGGGCAGGACTAGACTTCCTGCCTCCCAGGGCATCCTGTGCCCACCTCGGGGAAGGGACCGTGTTCTTGCCCTTCTGCCCTTTGTTTTCTCTGCTCCTGTTGGACTCTCCTTTCTGTCCTGCTGCCTTTTTGTTTTTGTTTTTTTTAACCATCCAGTTTTGTACTTTCTGTTTTACCATCTGCGTCCATCTTCCTTTCATTCTTCCTTGTCCCCAGCCTCCAGAAAACTGCCCTGACACTATGGGGCCTTCCTTCCCTCTGTGCTGGCTAACGTTTGCCCCCTTTTCCGCTTCCCCACTCAAACACGAGCCCCTCCAAGGCCAGACCACGCTCCATTTGTCCCTAGGCCTCCAGCGCCCCATGGCAGACTTGGCATGGGACCCTTTCAATATTTACTGAATGCAGAAGTTCCTATGTTTGGAATGTCCTAGCTCAGTGTTGAGGACAATAGGGAAGAGAGGGGGATGGGATGGATGGGTGGGAGGCTGGGTCATCCCTACAAAGATGCTTCCTGCAAAGCTCCCCCTACCCCGCCTAAAACCACAGTTCTGGGCTAGTTAGGGGCAGATGGACAGCTCTGCTCCTTTGGCTACTTTTGCTAGTGGGGAGGTGGGGTGTGAGCTTTCTTGGGCTGGGCCCCAGCAGCCTGGTTATCATACTGGGCCTGGGTGGGGTGAGGTGGGGCTGATGAAGATCAGGAGGCTGTCTATCCATGTAGTCATGGCAACCTTGCCTCCTTATGCTGCCCACTCCCCCTTCTCTACTTGCAAAACAACGGAAGGTGCCCTCTCTGGCCCCATGGCCCGTGCAAGAACCAGGCAAGCGCCTCTGAGCAGCGTAGTGAGGACACGCCATGGTGCTGTGCACAGTGTCCAGCAGTGTCTAGCAGTGGCCATCATGAGTCAGAGTAAGGAACCGAGTAAGTCAGGATCCCCCAGGGAGTCCTTTCTGTTGTCCAGAGAAGGAAATGAGGCCTAGAGAGGGGCTGGGGTTTCACCGAGGTTATGCAGGATTTGAATTCCGGTCTGAGTCCAGAGCCAGTACTCACTGTCCTTTGAGAGGGGAAGAAGAAATAGCCGATAAGTAGTTGGTGTTCTTTGAACAGACAGGCCTGTGCTGTGCTGTGGGGAAACTAGTAGCTCGGCCTGTCCAGCAGTCTGCCCGCGATGACTGTGGGCACTGGCGAGCTTGCCTAGAGCAACGGGCTCGGCTGGAGGACAGGCAGTAAGGGCAGTCGATGTGGTGTCGTTGGTTCAGGGAGGGAGAGGCCAGGACATGGGTGGGATAAAGCACGAAAGGCAGTGGGGCCGCAAAAAGAGCCTGGCCTTTGGGGTCAGACTTACCTGGGTTTAAGTTCCAAGACTACCACAGATTATACTACTGTGTGACTTTGGGTAAACCACTTACCCTTTCTGAGCTTCAGTTTTGTCACCTGCCAAGTGAAGATACTAACTCCCACCTTCCTGGGCTGGCATGGGACTTCAAAAGAAGCTACGTAAAGTGCTTGTGTTTTATAGAAAGAGCCACTGTTATTGCTAGAAATGGGGTTGGGATAGGGCTATACCTGGGGATGGCAGAAGAGGGAAACAGGGCAGAGGGGGCAGTGGGAACATTAATCATTCCTAGCAGCAGGAATTCCTCTGGACCTGCGGCATGGGCGAGGGACTTTCCCTGTCCCTGTCTGCCTGGGGCTCGGGAGCTCAGGGGCTTGCAGGCTGGGTGGAGCTGGGGTGGAGGGGAACAGGTACAGAGCACTACGACCCCAGAGGAATGTGTTGGGAGAGAGAGAGGCCCAGGGGCTAGGGGAGACACGACTCTGGCCCTGGAGGCCCAGAGTAAATGTTTGCTGAATTGAAAAGAGCCTGAGGTGGAGGCCGGGGAAGGCTTCTTGAAGAATGCCATTTCCTGTAATCCAGGTGCCTTTGCAGGGAGGCACAGCCTGTCTCGAGCCCCGGGGAACTTCTCTCAATGGCAGATGCAAGTTGCTGCATCGAGGCTGGTCCTCCCTCCCAGAGGCCCTACTCCTGCCCAGGCCACCGGGAATCGGACAGGGCTGGGCTACTAGAGCTCCCTGATGCCCACTGTGACATTCCCTCTGGCTCCTCCTTTCCCGCCCCACTCACTTAGTCTGAACCCTGCCTCCCTCCCCAGCTCCTGGCCTTCTCTGTCCACACAATAACAGGATGTGATCCGTTCAAGAGAGGAAGTGGGGAGGACGGGCGTGCTGATAGCGCATTTCTGACTCTCCACTCTGCACCCCCCTCCCCTCTGGGCTGCCTTCCGTGAGGCTGCCTCTTCCCCAAGGCCCTGCCTACTTCGGGTGGGGTGAGTTTGGGGTCTTGGGACTTCTCAGGACTATGTAAGCCTATGGAAAGATACCCACGGCCCTCTGTGAGGCCTGCCCCCCTGGCTCAGGCTTTGCTGATCTGGAAACAATGGTCTGAGACGCTGACACTCAGGGAGGCTTGCCTGACAAACTCTGGACTCCAGAGTATTTTCTGGAGCTCCTGGAGCCTGGAGGTGGGCAGGTGGGTCCCTCAGCCTCCTCAGCAGGGCTTCCCCCACACACCTGTTTCCACACGGGCCCGATCCAAGGCAGTGGGGTCGTAGAATCAATTGAAAGGTCCTCGTCAAGCACTGACTTGGACAGAGCGTGGGCTAGACTGCCCAGATGAAAAAGTGGAGGCTCTGAGAGGCAAGGGGACTTGTTTAAACAGCCTAAACTCGAGCTAAGCTGGGACTAGAACCCAGATCTCCTAACGCCCCACCTGGAGCGGTCTCCTGCCCTGAGGCCAGCGCTGTCCAGTCGAGCTTTCTGGCATGGTGGGCGCGCTCTGTGTCTGCCCTGTCCAATGCTATAGCCACCAAGCACACGTAGCTCTCGAGCACTTCAGTGGCTAGTGCAATGGAGTAACTGAATTTTTAAGTTTGTTTAATTTGAATTAACTTAAATTTAGACCTGTTAAGATGCCAAACTCCCAGGGAAGAGCAGATTGTCATAGAGAGAGGCCGGCGGACCTGAGCCCCAGACCCAGGAAGCTCAGGAAGAGGACATGGGTCACTGAAGGTTAGCCTCACCTGTGCTCGGTGTCCAGTTTATACCAAAGGGCTGGGATTTTGACTCGGCTGGCTCACTGACTCCTCTCTACAATCCCGTGCAAGGGGACAGTCACTCTCATTTTACAGATGAGGTCAGACAGGTTAAATGATTTGCCCAAGGTCAAGCGGCTGAGAGAGAAGCCCAGCTGGGATTCTGACCCCGGCTGTTCAGCGAGCCAGTTCGCTCCCCCCACTGCTGGCGAAGCCCTGGATACTGTCGGGATCACTGCAGAGAGGCACCAGCTAGTCCTGGGCCGTTAGCATGGGACTACCCTGAGGGAAAATCAGGGGGCCCCTCCATACATTGTGGGAGGGGAGGTTGGGTCATACGCTATTCTGTGAGTTCCCTGATATGGGGGGAGACACGAT